GTCGAACAAGTTAAATCATAATTATTAGTTTAAAATTCGCATTATAACTTAACTATCTACATCATTAAAAATATTATACACTAAAGTTCTAAACATCTAATAATTACAATGCAACAAACTGAAAGAAACAATTTAGTTTTAACAAATTAGCCAATACTAATTGGGGCAACATCTTCAATTGTAACACTTGATTTGTTTTTTATAAAAAGATAAAAATATATTGATTTAGTTATAATTATATGGTATAAGGCAACTAATATTAAAGAAAATGAATAGAAAGATCACCTTCTATAACCTTCTTTGAATCTTCAAATGCTTCCACCTCATTCAAATATTAACAAATCATGCTGTACAACCAATTCTTAGTGCAAATTATTGCCTTAACTATCTTTGCACTCAATGAACTCCTAAAGGTATCGAGAATCCAACCACTATTACGGAATGTAGATTCAAAAGCAAGTGTGGATATTTGAATAGCTAACACATTTTATATGTCAAAAGGCTCACTAGTCAAATCTTTACAATGATTATTTAAGTAATCGATCAAATCATTCTTTTCGACATGAGCTTCTTGCAAAAGTATAGATTTAAAAATTGAGGAAATAGGTTTAAAAATTACCAAAGTAGTTTGTGATCAAGAACTTGGGCTTCCAAGTTGAGCAGCATGCTTAGATGGAGCTAATGGTGAAGTCATCATTTCCTTGTAACATTCATTTAACTTGTGAAGTATTTTTCAACTTTCATTAACAACATGTTTGCTATTTGTACATCATAAATAAGTTCAAACCCAACTTTAAGCAATTCCAACTTGCATATGGGGTTAAGAACTATTCCAATGAATAACAATTGATTAAACTTTTCAAGATTAGCCCTAAAATAAATTGATCTACAATGTTACATACTAGGTTGCATTTGCCATACTGTATTAGACCATATAAAAATTTTATTATAAAATATAAACACGGAAGTGAATAATATTATGTTGAATCAAAGTAAATAATATTCTCTAATCTTTAAACATTTTCAGTGTTATCTTGTTACCGTTGCTAATAAATTGATATACTCTAACTATGCCCTATAAACAAAGTTATAGAGAAATACAAAATTAATTAATTGCTTGTTTTCAATTGACAAGTGATATTCGATCATTTTTATTTTTGAGTAATAAAAGTATTTAAAAGTAACCTTACAAAATTTTAAACTTAGTCCTTATTCAATTTAGATTAAAAAAATTCAAAATTTTAGTAGATTTTGATAAAAGTTGATACAGCCTTTGTTTGAACCTCATTCTTTTGAAAAAAAAATATATTTTTCAACAATGTTTTGACATTATTTCAAACACACATTTTTCAATAAAATAATATTACACACAAATTTATAATTTTTCTTTATTTTTAACCACACATTTTTCATCAATACACTATTAAAAAATTTATTCTTTTTCCTCAAAATTGGGCTCAAACAAGGGCATAATATATGTTTGAATAGTTGTATATCTCGTAAAGTTTGTAAAGAACATTAATTAAGTGCCTCTTTTGGAGCCATTCTCCCCAAATTTAAGCCCAGTTTGCGAGTGATTTTTCACACAAAAATTTTGATTTTTTTTAATCTTTATTTCACTATTTCAGCAGTAATTTTTAACTTCTTCTCTCATAGGTAACCCCCACTTTTCTCCTAAAGATCAAAAAATTAATTCTCAAAATAACTACCATATAGGCTCTAATGAAAAATTGGCCACTGTAGCAGCATTTTTGACTGCCTTCTTACCTTTCAATTAAAATTTTTGATGAAAAGACCATAGTGCCCTTTAATATTTGCATTACATTTTTGGCATTACAATAGAGGAAAAGGCGAACTCCATTTTTTTGTCGAACACGAGCATTGACACATCCCTCACAAGACCGCCCACGCTTTTTTCTTATTGGACGTGGGCCCCTTCTTCTTGTGAGGTACGTGTACACCAGCGTATCAGCATCGGTATACAAATAGCTAAATTCTATTTTGTCAATTATTTTAACCAGAATCGCTACAGCATACTGTTACAACATTCAAAATTTTCGTTATAATTTGTGAGAAAATGGCGCCCAACTAAATGATAAAGTCCCGTTTGGTATCCATTTTTGTAAGAATGAAAATAAAAAATATAATTGTTACGAAACTCACATAAGAGATAAAAGTCAAATATAGTGAGTTGATGTGATGGATAACAGTCATATTTTTTATTTTTGTGGCGAAAGAATGGGAATCAAACGAGGCCTAAGTATTGATTTTGGATTGGAATTTTAATCCACTCTTTTAGTCGAATAAAATAGATACTTAACCCCCAGTTTGGAGGGAATTAAAATCAAATTTTTAATAAATTTTGTTAATTACTAATAAAATGTATGATTGAAAAGTTATGAATTCCATAAATTATATGATTAAATAATTTTAATCAAAAATTAAAATCTAGAGTTTTAATGTCAAACAGGTAATTAGCCAAACAATCATACTGTTTGTATATTCTTTTTGACATCATGATTGACTTTGTGCTACGTGATGATACATGATTTGCAATTTTATTTATTTTTTTTTAAAAATATTTTCCCCCAACACTTTTTGAATTCCCACACAATATACATCAAGATATAAACCAGGTAATGTAGTCTTAGCATAATATTTAGTCAAATATGCTTGAATCAAGCAACCCCAGTTAGATAAATTTTATTGGGATAAGAAAAAGACAGACACAAAAAGAATGAGTTTCTTTCCAAAAGAGAAAGGTATTTCATGGAATACTGTTGTTATTCTATTTCGTGCATGATATGGGATTAGGTTTCTAGAAATTGTATCATAATAGTACTCAATCTGGTTGTTTACGACGAACCTGGTTGTCAAAGCCGCAGGAGCCCCTTCAATAGCACCACTGAACATTCAGGGGGTTATTCAAGTGGAATAACTCATTATTCAATTTGTCAACTTTTACTCACTGAGTGGACCCCACCAATGGAAGCACATGAATGACGACTTTCATAGTCGTCAGAGAGTAATTTCTGCTTGTTCATTTACATATTATTTTTTCACATTTGATTTTAAGGTACTCCATCTCTATTTAGTCATTACAGTTTCCATCAAAGAGTCGCTAATTTTATTTCTTTTTTTCAAAAATATTATATTGATTAGGAGTAAACTCAAGATTATGGTTCTATGCGGACGAGACACAACCCAGTAAAAAAATTGTTTCAAATAAATTGGGAAAGAAAACAACAAAAAAAAATCTGAAATTTTGAATTAAAAAAGTCGCATATATGGGAGACGGCACCCATTCGTCCCTTCATATGTCTAACCCCGATAATGATTTAAATAAGTAAGACACATGCGTAAAAATAATACATCGTCTTCTTTTCTAGCTGCTACATTTTCATTATTATAAAAAACAAAAATAAAAATTCATCAATGGAGAACCCATACAATTCATCTTCAAACTTATTTTAAACTGTACAATTTTCTAATAAAAAAGGAGAAGCAAAGAAAATCGAAAAGTTGATTATGGTGAATAGTTGGAGTTTGGAATTCCAAAAGGATACTTTACTAATTTTTTTTTGAACTTTCTCATATGATATCCAATATAATCTCAACTTTTTTTTTTGTCTCAATTTTCCAAAAGATGAGGCCATTATTTTCTCGAGTCAAACGAGAGTTTATAGTCATTTTGAGATTTAGTTCTAAAAGATACAGATTTGTGTGTGTAAACATACTCAAGGAACCCAATTTTATTAGGGCTCGAAGCTCGAAAATCACGAAAAAAATTATGAATTTCATGACATTTTAGTTTAAAGTTTGAATTAACTTGATCGAATTAAGCCTAATTAAATTTTGGGTAAACCCACATTGACAGAAGAATGTTAATAGACTCTTTGACAGATTGACTGTTGGCAAGATATGATTGGATGAAAAACTTTATCTGTGATTTAAACAATTCAATAATATGATGTCACGTGACATTATGTTAAGAATTATACCAACCATTATGTTACTATAGAATGATTATAAAATTTTATTTGCTCAAGATTAGTTAATGTAAAATAGTAACCGAGTTAGTTTATATGATTTGATTGTGTTACATCTGAGTGACATGATAATCATGAATCATGGTTAATGTTTAAATTTTTAAAATAACCCAAGAAACTTACGTGTGAACCCGAATTTAATTCTAGAAACTCACGTGGGAATTATCGCATAAATTTTGTGACAAAGTAACGACCGTCAAATATTTCCCTCACATTATAAGAAGCACCCTTCCCCCAACAATATACTAACCCGTAGGGCCAGGCCGGAGGTGGGGTTTCTGGAGTATGGGGCCGCAGTGCGGTGGGGCCAGTCACTTTAAAAAGTTTACCCTACACAGTTTTGCCGATGTCTATTTGCTCTAGTGGTAAGGACATTGGCATTGCTGGCTGAGGTTCCGTGTTCGAGTCCTCTTACCAGCATGGTGGTACTGTGCCTCTCCAAAAAAATCCCTCCATACGTGTAGGGCCAAGCGGTGTATACTAACCCGTAGGGCCAGGCCGGAGGTGGGGTTTCTGGAGTATGGGGCCGCAGTGCGGTGGGGCCAGTCACTTTAAAAAGTTTACCCTACACAGTTTGCCGATGTCTATTTGCTCTAGTGGTAAGGACATTGGCATTGCTGGCTGAGGTTCCGTGTTCGAGTCCTCTTACCAGCATGGTGGTACTGTGCCTCTCCAAAAAATCCCTCCATACGTGTAGGGCCAAGCGGTGTATACTAACCCGTAGGGCCAGGCCGGAGGTGGGGTTTCTGGAGTATGGGGCCGCAGTGCGGTGGGGCCAGTCACTTTAAAAAGTTTACCCTACACAGTT